GAGGGGTCCCCCATGTGTGAGTGCCAGGGGCCAGCTGTGCATGGCAGAGCCTGGGTGCAGTCGCTCCCTCACGGAGGGGAGGGGGACACTTTTGCTGGATTGAAATAATATAAGGGGGAAAACCACATGGGAAAGCAAGGGACAGCGCTTTCCTGCAAGGGAGGTTTTAGGGGAACGCCCCTTCCTGTAGGGCAGCATGTACAGTATTGGTCTCTCCTGTACATTTCTACTGCCCTCAATTGGACAATGCAATTAGCGCAAGCTTCAGTTTAAGGTTTAAAATGGGACGTATCCGTTTTAAATTAAGGGCTGGGTGGTCACCCTCTAAGGTGACATGCATCCGACGAAGTGGGCATTCACCCACGAAAGCTTATGCTCCAATACATCTGTTAGTCTTGACAGTGCCACAGGACTCTCTGTTGCTTTTTACAGCTCCAGACTAACACGGCGACCCCTCTGATACTTGACACCCTCTAAGGGACACCACTGTCAGCCCAGCAGCTTCCGCAAAGTCTGTGACCAGTGGTGGCTATGGTGACTGGACATTGTTTAATTTTACCAGTAGACCCTGTAGAGAAAAGGATTTTAAAACCAGTCTGCACACGCATCTGTCTGACCTAAAGCCCTCCCAGCCTGTGATGATGGATCAAGTGGGTCTAGTTTCTTCAGACACTCCAGCAGATGCTGGTCTCAGTCTGGACAGCACCTCACAACTGTCTCGGCAGCTGCCCCCTTAGAGAGCGAGCATCGCTTTTTAACCAACCAGAGATCCTTTTGAGCTGCTGGTTCCCAGCCGTGCCCCTGCGTGGCAAAACAAGCTTTATAACTTGGCTGGAGCCAAAAGATAGAATCTTCGCCACTAATGTCTCGAGCATTGTCTCTTAACAACCCTGAAGTGTTACCAGGGGTGGCTTATCTCAAGCAACTGTTTCACTTCTTGTTTCTTTTTCTTGCAACCTTCCTTATTAAACCAAACCAAAATGAGCATACAGTAAACATCCCAAGAACCAGTATTGATAACTTGTTACAGAGTACCCCGGTCATGACAAACTTCAAGGCAGCATGAGTGCGCAGCTTATCCCTATGGCATCCAGTGCTTGTCTTGCCTCAACTCCTCTCTTCTGTACAGTTACCCTCCCACTTTTCAATTCAACGCACCATCTCCCCTTCTCGTTTGGTAATAATGGAATTCTAGTCCAATCCTCCCGTCCTGAGCTTCCACCTCAGACTCTGCTTCCTTTACGAATTCCTCCTACCAAGCCAATCAATTCCCAAAGCCTTCCCCTCCGGCTTCCCTATGGAAAGGATCCCAAATGGCCCCGATTCCCCTCAGCAGAGGGAGTCACCACTGGTCCTTCCCAGGCCATGGTTACAGGAGAGCTTCCATCATGTTCTTACTCCAGGTTGTTGCTTATGTCCAGTCTGTCAGTCGCCTGCTCCCAGTTCTCTGAGTCCCGGGTAGTAGAAGGAAAACTAGGCACAGGTCAGAGATGGGGCTTAAGCCCTCAAAGGTCCAAGATCACCCTGTGATAGAGCACACTACACCCAGGAGTCTGAGTAACTACAGTAACCAAGCCTGTCTGAGATAAGAGAGAGAGAAAACCAGAGACTGCATTTCCCGCTTCCCCCAATTCTTTGCCTAAATTTTTCAATTAAATTTTAAGCAGTTGGAGGCAGCGGCCTCTCACTCCTTTGAAGAGCTTGTGTCCTTCATGCTATCTCCTCAGTTGGAAGGTGTCTGTCCCTAAATTGTCACACTAGTCCATAGACGAAGAACCCTCCTGGACTGCTTGATAACAATGGGCTCTTACACAGCATCGCCCACAGAGGGGGAAAAACAGTAAAAAAACGTGCTTCCAGCCATCTGCTGCTAGCTGGGAGATGATGCTGTCTCCTCACTGGTGGCAACTGGGTCTTGGTCCGATGGGCCTTGATTAATTTGACTCGGAAGTATCAGCCCTGGAAAAGCCGTAGCTGGACCCAGTTATTTGTTGCCTAGTGGGCCCTAGGGGGCCATGAGCTGCCCAAGTGTAAATTGGAGCAGCCCTGAGGCAGAGTCCTGGCCATCCTCCGAATGTAGAGCGGGAAAGTGTCTTAAAACCACCTTCCCCCTGCCCCCCCATCCTACATTCCTGTGCCAAGTGCAGGAAGCAAGAATCAGGCCAAGGAGCAGAAGTGTTGAAGGACAGATCTGAAATAAGTTTAATACACACCTTGATTTAATCTAATCCAGGGACTATTTTACACCTAATTTATCTTTCAGGAGTACTGGTGGGAAGTGTTTACAACATAAAACAGCCGACCTGCCGCTTTGCACTCAACTGGAAAGAGACATTCATTTTGCATTCATTTTAAGGGAGGCTTTTTTTTTTTTAAACGGGCTCTTTCTCCTGTTAGAGAGGATTTTGCTGTGTATTTCAATGAGACATTTTAAATCTCACTTAATTTTATGATATATACTTCATTCAAATTGTCACACCTCGACAGCCCTGGATTGATTGAGAAATGAAAGTGGGAAGTCCTGTTGGATAAGAAATCATTGCCTGACTACTGCTGGTGGGCACCCTTCCAGCCGCTATTTCTCTGATGAGGCATGTTTACTTTAACATCATCACTGTCATCTTGCATTGGACTCAGATTCTGAGATGAAAATTTTCAAGTGGCAAAGATTAGGAGCGGGCGGGGGGGGAAATCTCTCACAGCAAACTGGCAGGTACGAACCATCTTCATTCTCTGAGAGAGCACCCGTAGACTGGGACCATTTCACAAGACACAAGGATTCAGTCCGGATCAAGAGTCAATCAGGGTTGGTCTTGTTATTGATTTAAGGGTGATCTGCAAAGGACAAGTAATGGCGTTTATGCCCCTTTTCGTGCCCTTGTGATGGATGCACGAAAGGTTGTTTTTACATGTTTAATTTTTTTCTAATAGAAGCTCCAGAGTTGTCTATCCTAGCAGACTCTCTGGACAACTGGAGATCTCTATCTAAGTCTGTTATTGTCTATGAATTGGCCAATTATCTTCAAAATCTTTGATACCTAGACAGATAATTCTCCAGTCGTCCAAAGATGATGATGAGCTGTGAATAAGATCACCCCAGGAGCAGCCCATCATGAGTCACTGAGAGACTTGTCTCGTTAGAATTGGTAAGGCAACCACCATCTTTTCATGTACTCTGTATATATATTTTCCTACTGTATTTTCCACTTCATGCATCTGATGAAGTGGGATGGCCACTCTCTTCTCCACTGATGCAGCTCTCATTTTGGTATTCCTGCGCTAGAGGGCTGGGGTGAGCTCGGCACACAGAGCCCGGATTGTGGCCTTTCACATCTGAAAGTTCTGCAGCCACCGCTCATCATCCCAAACCTGCATTACAATCCCACCAGTCTGTGCTCATTTCACAGGCCCAGAAGTGGCGCTCCACCATGTGGAGCAGCTCCCCGAATGTCAGCAGCAACCTGGCATTTTTATTCACTGTGTCCCTCAACATCCGGTTATTGTGCTTGCATATCTTCTCATCTTCCTCGTCGCACACCCGCATGTCGTAATACTCATTCGAGTTCTGCAAATACAGGAGAACTGTGCATCTGGTATTAGCAATGGACATTAGAACTGCACTGAGCTCTGCAGGGTCCATGCTTCTGCCAGAGAGATGGTGGAGACTGAAAAGCGGTGTGTGGGACTGTGTCACAAAAATTATGGGATGGAACAAACATTATGGGATGGAGAAAGTGGCATACTAAGA